ACATCCTTGAAAACCAATTTACAACCAACATCGGTTTTTATTTGAACATCACCTAACCTCATAATTTTTTATGTGTAGCTGTTACACATTTTTACTATACCAAAATCACCTAATTTGTAAGTAGCAAAGAGTTCATTGTGTGGAGTAGCATGGTATGACGCACTAGTGTCAATAATCCAATTTATGTCTTAGTATGTAAGGCTAAAACAAGACTCTTCACATCCCACAAAAATCATAACCTCACCATCTAAAACAGTTGCAGTCGCCTCCTTTCCTTCTTTTCTTTTCACATTTTTCTTTCTTTTTGTTACTTTTAATTTTATGCATTCTCTCTTGAGGTGTCCCAGCTTATTGCCGTAATGGCAAGCGATATCTTTTCTTGACTTGGATTTACCTCTAGACTTGTCACGGTTATATAGACTTCAACTTTTACTTCTACGTCAACTTTCTGTAAGAAGTGCATTTGATTTACTAGTGTCCAATGATTTTCTTTTAATTTCCACATCGAGCAAACTGCTTCTTATCAAATTCATTATGACTTTTCCTTTGGGTGCAGAGTTGCTAAGAGACACCACAAGTGTCTCCCAACATTCCAGCAATGAACTCAGTAATAGTAAGGCTTGGAACTCATCATCTAACACCATTTTCATTAAAGCCAATTGATTTACAACATGTTGCATCTGGTTCAAGTGTTCGGTAATGGACAAACCTTCATTGTACTTCAAACTTACGAGCTTTTTTATTAAGAAAGCCTTATTGCCGGCGGTTTTCTTCTCATACAACTCTTTCCAACTTGTTCCAAAGAGGAACGGTTGAAGTTTCATTTGCCACAAGATGATAAGTATTGTCACCCAACCATTGTCAGATGCATGCAACGACTTTCAAGTCAAGAATTTCCCATTGGTCACTTGACATATCCTTGGGCTTGCCTTGTTCACCTTTCAATGGTGCATACAAGTCTTTGGAGAGCAACATATCTTTCATCTTTGATTTCCAAAGATACCAATTGCTTTCATTCAATGAAATCATCCTAACCGAATTTCCATCCATGATTTGCACAAGAACCAAGCTCTAATACCACTTTGTTGGGAATAATTCCTATATTTTCTTTTTATGCAAATCAAAGAAATTTTAACAACAAATAGCAGATATGCAGTAAAGAAACATACAGTCAAACACAAAATGAACAATAATGGTAAGTACCAAGATTTACGTGGAAAACTCCTCAATATGAGAGTAAAAACCACGGGACCGAAATCCAAATCATCCACTATTCGCAACAATAATGGGATACAATGTTTTTCTATCTAGTCACAATTAAATGAGGACCATCAAAAAAGTCTTTGGATTCCAACAACAAAAAATATCAATAAAATAGATAGAAAACATGAAATCTCTCACCAAAGGTAGAAGCACAACAATGGAAACAAAAAGAGATGCTGAAAACGGATTTATCTTCTTCGTTTCAGCCCTTGCAAATCTCCTTCTTTCCAAACCCTTCTTCTCAAAATCCCTTTTCTAATTTCTGATATTTGCTAGAGAGCTGTTAGAATTGAGAGAGTGGAGAATGAGCTCTCTCCAATTCGTTGGTAGACAAAACAAGACGTTTTGTCCTTTTCACTTTTACTTCATTTTATCTTTATGGTTTGTGGGTCCCACCTTATGAGGAGGATAACCCAACAAGAATAGGAATAGCCCATTCTAATTCCGATTCAAGACCCCTATTCCTGCAAATCAAACAAGGCCTTGATCCTCCAAACACTCACCCACTTGTGTTTGGCACCATTGTTCCTTTTACCTAAAATGTTTTTGAGTTGATCAAATACAAATTGGCATACAATTGTTTTTTGAGGCTGGTTGAAACAAGAATACCTTAAAAATGCATGCGTGGGAGGTTGTTTGTTAATGTTTCTTGCTATAGGGACTCAAGTCTAACTTTTCTAGCTGAAATGACTCTTCTATTTGATGTGACAATACATATCTCTCACCAATTTGTATTGATCAACCCAAAACTTCAGGTAGAAATGTAATGGTACCAAAATACAACCTTAGATAATGTTGGGAGTAGAAAGATAAAATGGGTAATCTATTGTATCATCAATTTTGTTGGGTTAGTCTTCTTACTAACATTCAAGTGGTTATGATATTAAATACTTTATTGAACGTGTTTAAAAATGATCTTAATCGATGTGATGAAAGAAACAAAGCCCCTGCTTGACAGAGATCGTAGGATCCAGAATCAAAACCATACAGCTTGCAAAAAAAAAAAACTGAAGTGATCTCACAAGGTTAGGTCACTGATCAAACGTTAAGACTAGAGACCCAACCAAAAAGCAAATACCAGTGTTTTGACTTTTGAATTTAAAACAAATGGGGGTAAGTTCCTTGTTTCTTTGGTGAGCATAAGAAAATGCTAGGATCATGGTCACAGCAGATGTGAGCTCGTCTGATATGATGCAAAGGGCCCAAGTCTAAATGAACTTCAATAGTAATGGAACAAAAAAGCAAATATAGTGTTTTGAATTAAGAAAGAAAATGGGATTAATTACTAGCCAGGACTATGGTCACAGCAGATGTAAGCCTTTTTAATCTGATGCAAAGGACCAAAATCTTGAATGAAACTTCAAGAGATTACAAATGCAAAGGACCTAAATTGTTTCTAAGTACCGATATGATATAGCCGACATACGACCCAACCAAAATGTAAATACTAGTGTTTTGAATTTAAAATAAATGGAAATCATTTCCTTGTTTTATTGGCAATCGTAAGAAAATGCTAGGGCCATGGTAGCCCTTCTTATCTGATGCAAACAGCATAACTCTTGAATAGATTTAAACAGATTGAGAAATATATATGGATACACCATCGACCCAACCAAAAGGCAAATCCCAGTGTTTTGAGTTCAGAACAATGGGGATCATTTCTATGTTTTATTGGAGGTTATTAAAAATATGCTATTATGCTATGACCATGGTCGCAGCAAGTGAGCTCTTCTGGTCTGATGCAAAGTCTAGAATGAATTTCAACAGATTGCTGACAGTGCATGAATATGATTGGATGGTAGTAGGAGATTTTAATAAAATCTCTATCAATGTCTTTTTTACTATTCATAGGCTTGATGAATGTATTTTCTTTCTTTCTTTCGTTCTTTCTTTCTTTCGTATTACATAACTCGCATTACAGGGAAATTAGGGGTGGGAACCAAGGTTCAAAATATTGATACACCCGATACACCGGTAGAGGCATATCGGACAGTATCGGTGGTTTTTTTTAGTTTTTTTTTTTTTTTCAAATCCGATTCAGAGGGGCTGGTTTAAGATTCATCTACTCCCTGAACCGGTCAAAACCCCGATACACCCTCTGTAGGAGCGTATCGGGAAGCTCCTGATATGATACGTATCGGCCGATATTGTGAACCTTGGTTGGAACAATGCAAGGTGCACTTGTGGCCCACTGGCCATGCAATGGAGAGCCAGTGGTTCTGTGGGTTTAATTCCGTGCTTCCTAATTTGGAGGGGTGCCAACTGACCATCAACTACTAGGTCATTAGTAGTTGAAGTAAGAACTTATGAAGAGAGTTGAGACTTTCTCAACAAAAGTTGGATTGGTGGTTGCTAATTCTATTTGGGAATGAGACTCTACTACCATGCCCACCCCTATGTTTTGAGAAAAAAGATAACTTATATTAAACTTGAATAAAGCAAGATCAGTAAGGCATTATATTTGCACTATACCCAAAAAAAAAAAAAAAAAACTTCCCAAGCCAGATTTTGCCAACCCATCAGCCAAATGATTGAGATTCCTTGGGATTCATCTGAAACTACATGGAAAGGAGGCCATTTCATAGATTTCGTGCAAGAAATTGGACAATCTGTAAAGTCCTGAACCCTGCTCTTTATCCCATGCCATTTAATGGCATATCTAGAGTCACCTCCCAAGGAAAGGGAGTTGAACAGAATATCCTTGGCAATTCTTAGTCATTGTAAGAGAGCACGAATTTCAGCTTCAGATGGATCCCCTGCTGTGGTGGTCCACTAAAAACCCAGCATAAGTCCCTACAAGAGTTGTATAACAGACCACCAATGCCCACAGCTAAGTGGGAATTAAGCTCTCTCCTTAAGCTTCCATTAAATTGGACAATGAAATCACTCAACTGTCTTGGAAGGAGATTATAAGGGGCTCAGCAGGAGAAGTTTGCAAGTAATCCAACCACCATCTATGCAGGTCCCCAGAATTCATTCCAGCAAAGACTGTAACTTCTGCTAATTAATGAACTCACCAATAGAATTAGGAGGAGCCCAGCTGTAACTGCCTCCATAAATCTAGTACAAGCTTCTAGCCACATGGCAATTGATAAACAGGTAACCAATGGACTACCCATCACTTGGAAACATAATGCAAACATGAGGAGATAAAAAGTTCTCCCAGCTCTCCCTATCCTTTTTCTCTGGATGATGTCAAAAGTATTTAGCCTTCCCCAAGCTACCTCTGAAATGAAGGAGACTCTAGGGGGGAACTAAAGAGATCTAAATCCTGTTAGCCTGAGGAGTAATGGAGCTGGAAGTGGAAACAAGCTGGTGGAAGAAAGACTTGGTGGTAAAGGTGCCATTTGGGGTTAGGAACCAGATTAGCTTGTCTGGGAAAGAGGTTGAAATAAAGGCCTCTGAGAGCTGGGAGATGAGGGAGGAAGCTTCTTCAATCTCTGAGTCTTTCACGCCTGCCCCGATTTCTGCTAAACAATTTAGAAACAAAGCTAGAAAATAAAATAAACAATGATTTGGTTACTTGTTTGGAAAGTGTAAAGTAATACATTATTTGTGAAAAAATGAGGTGTCTACAAAATGCCCTATGAATTATTTAAGATAAGGGCTCTTGATTAGAAACTCAAGTTTGAATTGGAAGGTCCCACATAGGCCCCTTCTAATACCATTGGATTATTTTTAGGCATGAGGCCATGCAAAAATGGGCTAATGCAAAAGAGATGTTTGGGAACTTGATCTTGTAAAAGAGGTCATTATTGGCCTAAAAATTTTGAGGTCAATAGCTGCTTGTTTACCCATTTAGTTGCATAATATTGACAGAGACCCAAAATGAACTAATTGCTGGCTAGGTGTAAGAACAACCGTGAGCATTACCATGTATACCCTAATGCAAGTGTGGCTGGGCACTAAAAGAAGCAAATTCATATTTCAGTCTTTGTAGGAATCAATCACCATAGCTTTCAATACTTGGCCACCCTTGATCAGCTTGTAATTTCACAAACTCAGCCAAAAGCTTAATCTCTTCATCTTGTAGCCTGGGTCCAAATGTACACTGTCCCCTTGGTGTGCAATTCTCACCAAATCCCTGCAGAACAGATAGACTAGATAATTTGCAAACAAATAGTAATGTGATTACATGTAGGTAATGTTAGAGTATAGCAAAACTTACTGGCATTCTTCCTTTTCCATAATATGTGATCTTGTATAACTCCTCTTCTTTATCAACATCGTTTCTGCATTGCACCAGAAAAAACCCAAATTATTTCAATGTTCAACCATGAAAAGAAGAAATATCAGTTTGAACTTTGCTTTTCACCTTTGAAGGTCTTGTAAAAAAAGTGTTGCACCCTGAGAAGATGGTCTGAATTAGAACTAAATGAATTGAAAGAACATAAAGGATCCAATTCATTTAAAGGGTTAACTGATGAGATGACTCACAGGCTGAATTATGTTTCCACCTCCATCATGACAGCCAATACAGGCTCGGCGAAACAATGTCGCTCCTCTTTGAACATCTGTAAGCTGTCCAAGTGATGCTGCACCATGAAAAAGCCAAGAAAGAACAATCATGTAAGGGAAAAAGAGAGAAAAATAAAACAAGGTTTCTAATTTTTACTTACATGATTATCTGAAGAAATTAAAATTAGTGAGTTTATTTTGTAAGAATCTGATTATGTACTCGCTCTACTAGTTTGTCCTTTATCCATATTATCCTCTATAAACAATGGCACAAACACTGATCATGACTTTGAAAAACAACACATATATGGTAGATTCAATTTCAACGGGATCCTTGTATTAAGAAATTGAAATTTAAAGGTTCCTGCATGTTAATGAAATAATTTCTGTCTGGGCCCAAAACCAAGTAGCTCATTTGATGGACATTACACATTCCAAAGCGAAAGGTTGTAGACTTGTAGTGTTGCATGTAAAGGCTTCTTCTTTCCCATTCAAGGGTAAATGTGCCTTCCATCAAACAGGCTTTGTGTCTATTAGTTTGGTCTGAACAATCTAAATTGGAAATAAATAATATTAAAAGATATAACAAAACGAAAACAGAGAAAAACAAAATTAAAGTAGCGTTTATTTTCCAAGATACAACCTTCCCTAGTAAATTCGATCCCTAGGAAATATCCCATTTTATAGGGACGAGTAAAATCATCTCTCTCTCTCTCTAAACTTTTCAAAGCTAAAAGCAAAAAAGTTGCTAGGCAACAGTAGACAGAGTTAATACCAAAATGAAGTACAAACTTTCACTTGTCAATTTATCAGGGGTGTTGTAGTAATTCAGCATAAGATGGCAATTTATAATGAACGAGAGAGAGAGAGAGAGAGAGATGAATTAGCGGTCTGTAAAATGCGTACGTACCTGGTGGATTGCAGAGAGGTGATAAGGCCACAAGCGCAGCCATTAAAGGGGGTGCCAAACTCTTTAGAAATTTGATTTGTTTAGGCGTTTCAGCAACTGGGGATCTCTCCTCCACATATTCCTTATCTACAGACTGCATAGTTCAAAAAACAATTGGGCTTGAGAGAGAGAGGGAGAGGGAGAAAGAGATGTGAAGGGATTCTAGTACCTTTACTGGGAGGGAAGAAAAGTTCCTAAACCCAAATGTCACAGATAAAGGAAGCATTTCTTCTTCCTCTTCTTCTTCTTCTCGGCTCAAGAAATATATCCTTCCATCTTCATCTTTCGGTATCGGTATGCAGTCGTTTGGTAAAACAGTTGGATATATGTGACCAAATGCTGTGGTGGCCTGGTGGGGCCGTGGACTACTCTCTTTTTAGGCATCATTTCGGTTTGGGACAGACACAGGACTGTAAGGCCTCAATGGGCTTCTACGATCTAATGGCCCAACTTTCCGTGTTTGGTTTTGTTTACTTTATTAGTAAATGTTTTGTAGTTATATGACTGTAAAATTGAGAAACACATTTAATGAAGGCGTTTATAAGTGCCATTAGGCACATCAACAAAATGCCAATAAATACCTATCCATTTTAAGAAACTTCAAAATGAAGCTTTCTGAAATGAGAGAGGCGCACAAAAACTTTGTCGAAGTATTGGGTAAATTACTGATTGCCACCCTGTACTTTGGATAGTGATTCTTTATGATGTGCGATCTGGATGCTCCTAACTGCAAGGCACCTTGATGCATGCCGCCAAGTAGGTCACACGATTTGGATGCTCCTAACTTAAGTCAGTAATAGTATATGCGAGCTAAGAGTTTGAGAATAAGGAGAGATATAATGCACTAAATCACGCGTACTTGGGCCCTGGAGGGGTTGATGCCCTTATATAATTGAGCTACCGTAGGTCTCACGAAATGATTCCGGGATCTTTGACCTGCGTAGATGAGATCCGTTTCCACTTTAGAAGGAGAGTAACGTACCAATCAATGAAGTCTATCGTTACCGTCCGATCCGGGCAGGGAGAGGATAAGGCCTGTCGTTATGCGGCGTGATCCAGGGAGATTCAAAATCCACTGAGAAGATTCTGGAGTTGATTGCGTGTCACTTTGGTACCTAGGTGTTGAACTGGCTTTGGTGCCGAGGTGGCTCTGTGTCGAGGTGCCCGAATACCTGGGCTCCTGAATTGTTGAACTCCTTTTGCCGAGTTGTCATCCTACTGGTAGGTCATGTCCACGTGACCTTTACTTACTAGGTTGGACCAAATCACCCCTAATCAATTCTTAACCCTCCAAACTTTCATTTCTGACAAATACCTCCAAGAACTTCAGATTTCAACAATGTGCCCCCGATTAGAATTTCGTCACTTAACTTCTAAAGAGATTTCCATGTAACTATCATATATGCTTGTCAAACATTTCTAAAGCCCCAAATTATGCTTTCCTCGATCTACATCACTTTGCTCCTCTCATACATTTGTATAAATCCTTTACTTCGTCACTTAACTTCTAAAGAGATTTCCATGTAACTATCATATATGCTTGTCAAACATTTCTAAAGCCCCAAATTATGCTTTCCTCGATCTACATCACTTTGCTCCTCTCATACATTTGTATAAATCCTTTACTTATATATGTTTCTAATTTTTTCTTCTTTCTTGTGGTGAGGGTTTTGTTCGATTAAGGTTTACAAGAAAACTGGGCAAGAAAGAGATAATGTGCTTTGTCCTATCCATTTTTGTTGGTTTGAAAAGTCACTCTCTCATCTATACAAAACTTGAAAGGCCATTTTAGTAAATTAATTTCTTCTGTCAATTTAGGCCCTGTTTGGCGTGTCTATTTGCACAGTCTGTCAGCTATTTACAAACCCGACAAATCGCAATTTGGTCTTTTCTCATTTGGTTTGTGGCAGATCTAACTGTCAAAAGTCGACACGCCGAAAAGACGCAAGAAGCCCAAATCAAGTGATTTTCAGGAAGCTCCAAATGATGCTTTTGTATTTTTTTTTTTTGTATTCGTTTTCACATGGAAAAATGCACAAAAAGACATGCCTTAACCAAACGGGCTTCAGGCTACTCAAGTGTTAATACAAAAGCTCAATGCATCTTTTGACTGTCAAAGCTACTAGAAGAGGGGCAAAATGTTAGAATTTAAAAGTTCTTGGGATATTTATCACAAATAAAAATCGGCAAGGGATTAAGTGTTGCTAGGCCCAAATTAAAGTACAAGGTGGCAATCTGAAATTCACCCTAAAACATTATGGGAGGGCTGAAGAGCGGTGGCTTTTTTGAGGCACCCCCCCCAAAAAAAAAAAACGGCTATGTATTGTCAACCAAATTTGAAGGGTTATCCACTGAACTCAATCTATTTAAACAAGTTATGGAGAGTGCTCTCAAATTATATGGTGGAGTGGAGTTGTGTGTGTGTTTTATCATCAATCATCATTCGATGGCTTGATATTCAGATATCATTGCTAGAATTCACTTGCATTCCTTTCGTGAAGGAGAATATGGTTATGTGTCCATCCTTGGGGCACTTCGATGGACGCTTGCATCCTTTATGGAAGATTTAAATTTCATTACATGTCCATGAAGGAAAGGGAGATCTATCAAATGGATGGCCGAACTATGAAGAAAAGTTGGGCAAATTTTTAAAAATTTTCTCTCTCCCTTCCCAGGAATCATATTCCCTAATTTAGAAAACTGCATTTTCAAGGTTCGTTCTTGAATCCAAAATCGGGACAGATCTAAAACCAAAAGAGAGTGAGGGATATACCTAATACGAAGTAACAGTAACTCCTAATGCATGTGTTCATGCCCAAAGAGAAGACCAAAACCCGCTTCCACTAAAGATGACACAATGTGTAGTGAAGCAGGATCAGCATGATGGTTCTTCAGCAAGAACTTGAGTTCTTCAGCAAGAATCAAGCAAGGGCTGGTGAGCACCACTTCAGATTGCTTCTTCTACCAATAAACAATATCAAGAACTCTTCTTGATTAGATCCACAAGTGGAGATCAAACTGGGGAAGAATTCTACAATTTGTTGTTGTGTGTTAAATCTGAAGAATTTGCCACCTATTTATAGCATTCTTTGGATTAGCCTCCTAATCTAATTAGGAGAGAGTTTCCTAATTAAAATCTTATATTTGGATATGGACTCTTAAATGGACAAGACTTATCTTATCCTTCAGCTAATCCTAATCAGTTTAAAAATTGAATCCGCCCCCTTTTAATTAACTAACTTAAGCCCAGTTCGAATTAGGCCTCAGGCCCATTAAGCTTATGTGCTCACTTACTCTTTAATCTGCTGCCAACTTGGCTCTCTTTGTATGGCGTGGGGCCCTAACATTGATCTACTCATCAGCTGCATGGGTTCAGCCCAGCCTCTATTACAAGGCCTGGCTGAATTCACTGTAGGAGACAATGAACCCCAAAGTCCATCACCATGGGCTCTTAATGGGCCCAACAATTAAACTAAATGGTTCTTGGATCCAACCACCTTATGAAAGCTCCATAACTGTGGGTAGATGCAAGATTAGCCCATCAGATATTAACCTCAATGGTCTTACACTTAACCTCTCAGCCCATAATGATCAAACACTACCTGACAAGAAAAGACCTCTCCCTCGGCTGCAAGGTGCAGTGCTGTACTTTCTACTCACATGGATCCCGGGAATTAAAACATTTTGCAAACATTTTGAAACCATAATATATATGTATATGTCTATATAAATATATATTTTGCAAAAAAAAATCTCAATGTTTGAAATCAATTGCCGGCAATTTAGGTTTCCATTAGAGAGAGTGCATTCCCTAATCATTCACTTTGCCTGACAAAGGGGCTGATCATGTCACTATGATCACCCACGCAAGTGAATTCTCAGACTGCCCCAACATACCTAGGTTTTGACCCCCTCTAAGGATCTCATTGATTGGCATATCAAAGACAGTCCAATACGACACCTAGTGCAGTACCATAATCGAGTCTAGGGGTCAGGTGTAACATTCCAGTTTTGCCCATCTGTCTCAAAGGTTCAGGGCAACACTGGAATTTGGTCCGATTTAGGGTTTCAATAAAACCCACACTACATGTACCTCAGGTCTCACCTGGCACCTGAGACAAGCCACCCCAACCAATTTGGTGGCACATTAGTATCAGCCTTGACAAGATAAATCTCCCTAGATCTATTCAACAGCTGTGAAGATTCTAAACTAACACGAGTCTCATATATGTCTAGTTTAAGAATATTACACAAAAACACACCACAATGACATGAATCAATTATGTACTTTATTCAATTACAATAAATGTCAAAAGATACATCGATCTGATTAAAGCTAAGGGCATACACTGTCTAACAGTCCAAGCACTGAGGCACTAGTAGAAACAGTTTCTTGTAACCATAGAAGGAGAGAAATTGAAATTATCTTCTATCTTTCTTTCTTTTTTCACTTTTAGCTATTTTCATCATTGATCACAACAATTCTCATTTGTCAAATTTATTTTTATTTAATTAATATGAGAAATATATAATATTACATGCACTAGACATGTCTAATTCTTTTAAATTTTTTCTATACTTTATCGATTTTAATATTTTATCTTTTCTATGATGTTATAGATTAATCCATAAACCACTAATCTACCACTAGCTTAGTGTGCACCTTATCACTAACCCATTGACTGGGTCTAGGGTATTGTGTTATTGTCATGATCAATTTTATAGATACACCATTAACATGCCATCGATGTATCAACATGTCTGTCTTGGGTTGGTATTATACTCATTTTCTATTGAGAGGATGCCTATGTAAATACCAAAATCTTAAATGCCTCTTTATGAGGAAGTAGGCAGTTTCAAGGGAACTAAGATGTAAAGGTTAAGCATGGGACCTCGAGACACATCAACCATGTCCATGTGCTTTTTATATTAATGCAATACATGTTCCATTTTTCCTAATTTGTGTGCCATTGCTGTTGCCTTTCTTGTGTTGTTTGTTATCATAGGCTTACTCGACTCATTTGATCACCACACAAGGCCTTGATGATTATCCCTGAGATACATGGTATCAAAGCAATAGTTCATCGACACATTATGACCCTTAACAAGCAACAACTATTTTAACTTGATAAAGAGCAATAGGGAGATTATAAGTGTAAAACGGGTTGGGCCACCCATGGGCCAGCCTGGCCCACAGTGTTATAGTGTCATGCCATGCCAAACATGGCCCATATGAATATTTATGTATATATTAATAATATATATGTACATAATACATATTATATATATATTTAATATTTTTACTTTAGAAAAACTTTTATGCTAGCCAACGGGTTTGGTCCCATGTTGCACCCCCTCCTTATTCTATCAA